AACGACCAAATGTCGACCGACTCGCTCCCAAACACACGTGCACTGGGAGAAAATATGGCATAAAAGAAATTTGTATACTTCTGAATGTTTTTTGAATAAGAAAGAAACAAGGCAAGAATGCCTTGAATGCCTTTAAATATTTTTTTAAGGAGTTTTATGATTAAAAAAATAATAGTGTTCAATATTAAAATTTTCTTTAATTTCTTTCATGTCTCAAGTCTAACAAATGTTTATATCAGGGTAAAAAAAATGTGACTATAAAAAATCAGTTTATCTACTTTCATTTCTAGTAGCTTTTATTGTAACAACTAATTTATCCTTGTTTCTAATTTTTTCATAGCTAAATTTTTCTCTGTGTAGTCTTCCATAGACACAGACAAAGCGGACACAAAATCGTTAGCCCACTTGGCAGGGCACCAGCAAAATTTTTGCACTCTCGCCCTTTAACTGTGTCACGGCTCCTTTCTCCATCTCCATCGGAAATCGTCCAGCCTCCAGTCTGTATTCTCTGTATTCTTCAGCATATAGTACAACATCGAACAACCAACCTCCAACCGCCGTCCCAGAATCTTTCGATGTCGTCTGGCGTAATGAGCAGTCTTTCGGTTCTCCTCCACGGAGAAAGGGGTTGCATGTACACAAATGATATGTAAACACCAAACAATTTGCCATGAGCTGGCTGGCTCGCTGGCTGGCTGCTTTTGAGTTCCTATTTGATTAGTGCCTGATCAGTGCGCCAAAAAGCGGGCAACGTTTGCTTAATTTTTGGCAGCCCATCTGAAGGATACTAAAAACATGGCAACAAATCACGTTAATTGACGCTGGCAGCGCAAGAATTTTCGCCATAACTGATACGTAATCGAGTTACACACAAGCGGGTCAAAAGTTTATAACATTTGTCCTCGAAGGTTTCCGTACATGTAAAACTGCTTGGTAGATTTTTAATTGATTTCTTTGCTTTGAAACCCTATTTATTTTTTTCGGTGTTTGGCAAGGCCAGTGAAAAACATTTATATAATAATTAATAAAAAAAGAAATGGTTTATCATTCTATAATTGAAAGAACTAGAAAGGAAACTAGGTATACCAATCCACAATCGCACTTAAATTATGGAAGTTATGGGCTTTTAAATGCAGAGTTTTTGCAATTTTTTGAAAAAGCCAATTTTCGGATTTTTTGCAGGAGTCACATCATAAAAATGTGAAAAAAATCGACCCAAAAATCGAAACCTGTATACAGTTGTTCTAAGAACTAATTCACGAGCATTTTGAGGTATCTTAATATTGTTTCTTTTATTCCGTCCCCTAAACAACTTATAAATGGAATTTATTTTATTTGTTTGCGTAGAAACTTTTTTGTTATAAACTAACTACTTAATGGTGACTCCATAATAGTTCGATTTTCGTAGCCTAATCTAGTTCCCTTTACTCCATCCCATGGGGAACATATCACTCCTTTTAGCTGGCCCAGAAAACATTTTCATTTCAACGGGAACATACAAATTAGAATGCGTAGCTGTAATAAATTATATTTTTGACACACAAACCCAAAGTCCAACACGTAGAGGTACGCATACGTGTGGCCGACACCCAAATGTAGGCAATAAAACTTCTACAAAATAACCAAATGCATAAATATGTTTTAAGTGCCACGAGAATAACGCAGAGAATTCCCTTAAATATGACCATAATTTATGCAGAAAAAAAAACACACATAGAAAAATCATTGTGGGTAAAATGAATATTCAAACAGAAAGGGAATGTGATATCATTCAACCACTTTTCATGCCCTAAGCCCTTCTTGCGAGGGCAACCATGAAATATGCAGCACAAACAAAGGTTTTCGGTAAATATCCGGATCAAAATGCAACCAAAAATTGGTCTGCTAAAATCATAGCAAATATATCATGCCGCAAACAAACTGTGAGTATGCAAATAAAAGTCGGTACTTAAATTACGTGAATTCAAAAAGGTTTCATTACCGAACTATATTCATAGGTTTAAAAGCTTTAAGTGCATGCAATGTTGGGGATATATTTGAATTAACTCTGGTATTTTTGTTGGTTTGTATTGATATTTTGAAGAGGTATTAAAACAGTTTAACTCCAGTACATACCTGATCGCTTTGTGCTGTTTCAGTCACCGAAACATCATTGCCAGACATTTTATCTGATTTTAATTACTCAGATTTCCGCGGCTAATGTTGCATTAAGTTCAACGTTGTAGCTGCATTAAAAAAAGGAACAAAATGGTTTTATTTATATACAAAATATTTTATTTGTTATTTTATTCGGTTTCCACTTCGTCAATTCTAGTTTTGCATTCCGCGTACATTCCTTCGTCATTTTTTCAGATTTATTTTGACATTTCAGCAATGATTTATTACACACATTTTTTTTCCACTTCACATTCTTTTCAAAAATGTTCGCATCTGCTTCAAACGTTTTTATGTTGCCGTTGATTTTTCTTGGCATTCTAATTGATGCCTAGATTTATTACATTGTTCGCATTCATTGTTTATATTGCGGGTTAAAAATATGTTTTCGGATATTATTCATTTTATCTTTCGGTATGTTGTTTTTGTTATGAGGGAATTTAATAAACTAACTGAATTTTTTTCATTCTTTTAATGTTATTTTGTAGCCGAAGAGCCGTGTAATTTATACCAAGAAAATAACTGCTGCCTGTCACTTAATGCAAATTAAACAATTTAAATGAGCAAACAAACACACCAAGAAAATCCGAATTGAGAAGGGAACGAAGACAAACCATGAAGTTTTTGTGGCAGCCGCACAAACCGAGGCAGCAAAACTGCGCATTGCACATAACTCGTAACTCATACGCCCCGTTGTACAATAAGAATGGTCGCGTTTATCAACGTTTGTTTGCCTGTTTGTTTGGCGGTTGGTTTGTTGTGCCTGCCTGGCTGCGGTTTTTCAATTGTCAGTGCCAAAATGAACGAAGTGAGCCCGAGCGCCCAAAGTGGAGAAAAACGTTGAAAGAAAGGAAGAAAAAAAAAATAAAGTAAAATAAATAAGAAATACCAAATAAATTGAATTGCGTAGCCGACTATAAAGAGACAGCCAACGTAGGTGAGTTGAGAAAAGCCAACTGGAAGCGAAGATAAAAGCACAGCATCCCCAAGGGGGAATGGTTACCGAAAAAAAAAACAAAAACAGGACTCACAGTCAAACAACAAACGTGATAAATGTGCTGCGACCTTTGTGGTAATGTGCATAAAATATATTTCTAAATTGTCAAACGGAAGATAGCAGCCAGAAAAACTTTGAAGTTGTTGAAAGAGGTCAAAGTAGAGAATGTGATTGTATTTCGATTATCTGGACCAGATGCTAAAAGCTTGTCTTTGTATCTGTCTTCAATTGCTCGAAACCTTGTTCTTATTTTCCATTTTTATTTCTAGAGTGCACAAAACATAGTAAAAATGGTAGAAATAAAAATAAATTTCGAATTTATATCTACTGAGAAGTTTGTGGGGAAAACTTAAGATATTCTATTGGGTTGGAAATGGAAATTTCCAGTTAAATCAATTAGGATGCAGTTTTCAATTTTAAAGAACTTCTTGAGTTTGTATTTAAGCTGACATAAATACAAAATTTAAGCAAATAGTTTGAAGACTTGAGTGAATAATAAAATATTATTTTCCTTAAGACATTGCCTTGGTTTTAATTGCTCTAAAAACATCCTTGACAAATGTCTTTTCATGTGGTTTAAATTCCTGGGTTGACAAAATTGTTGAGCTTGAGCAAATAAATATCCCACTTTAGTTCTTAACGACTGGCTATCCATTAAGTTACTTTACGACTGACCAAGGCAAACAAATATTTGCTAAAAAGGCCATTTAAGTTCCTTAACTTGCGGTTGAGATAAAATTTGATGTCCTTTAGTGGCGGTCACAGCTGCCGGGCTGCCTAAATGCATTAAATATTAATGAGTTTAAAAGCGGTAAGTAATTTGTTATCCCCAAATGAGGGATAAGCCCCGCTCAACTGACAAATCGCCGGGCTATTGATATAGGAGTCGGGATAAGCCATCCCACATCAAAATGGTTCTCTGCGGAACTCGTCTGCTAATCCAGCAGATGCAATGTGCTCGCCGGACTATTTGATTTTTCATTTGTGCATTTGTCAAGTGCGAGAACAAGAAATTGCAAGTGGCAACCGACAGGCAGCGGATGGCCAAACAAACAAACATGGGGAAAAATAGAGTGGTGGGAATGGGGCAAAAACCAACAGAAGTTTCATCAATTTTACACAATCCACTTAACTTGAAAAGCCAGAGGGCAGTCACTCACAGAAAGCGAGAAGGAGAAAAATCCATTGACGAGCATTCTCTATCTACTCCAATTCATTTGAATTTCTGCTGGGGCAAGGAGATTGGCAACAGTGGCAGCTAATTACGGCTGGATAGATTGGGGGGGAAAAAAATTCTCGCAAAATAAAGTAAAGATTTACCAAAACTTAATTTATGGTAAGTGTTTAAAATATAAAAAAACTTTTTCGTAATACAAATTGGGATATTAGGATTTGACATGCATTTAAATTAAACGTTTAAAAATGTAATCAACCATTTTGTAAAATCCATACATTTTAAATTTTAACGTTTAAGGTCTTCAGTCAAATTCAAGAAATTAAAATATGTGCTTTAGTAAACAGTGTGTAAAAAGTAAACTAGAGGTGGGCTGCAGTGGAGTCTTTGGTATGTTTCGCTTAATTCGTATTTATCGTTGACGGTTCACCACTAGATAAATAAACAAAAACTACTGTTCATATAAACCCAAAGGAAAGAGATTATTGAATGACTGAAATCAAAATAATCAACAGCTGACCTAATTAATGCAGTTAAAACAGCATCAAAGCTTTTTTTTTAGATAAATCCGGCTTATCAGGCCAATTAACTAACAAATAGCTTTGAATAGGGTTGGAAAATACATTAAGTACAAAACTTTCGATACAATATTCTTGCTCAATACTAATCAAAGCAACACTGCACTTTGCAGTCAGAAAAAGTCACACACACTTGGAACCCTTTCGATTTACTTTGGAAAACTTGGCACCAACTCGATTCATTTTATTTATTGGCTTAAGTTAATTGCAAAATGTCTTCCTCAGAAACCGACCGCTTTACGGAGGAGGAGGTGGAGCCGCTAATAGCTTCCGTTCCGGTGCCAATGAGTCCCAATCTAAATCTTCAGGATAGACAAGCGGTGGAGTTTTCTCCATCGCTGTCGGTTACTTCGGTTGATGGCAGTCAGGCAACGGAATCCACAGCTTCGTTTCCTGACTTGCAGGAAGTTAGTCCCAGTTCGGAACATTATCTTCGATCCGTACGAGCTACTACCAATTTGAGACCCAGTTCTGGACGTCGCCGTTCGGTTTCCTCATTACAATCGTCTTCTTCATCGGCAACTCATCTGCGCCGACGCAACGAGATTTCCCAACTTTTGTATTATATGCAGACCCATGCGCCCTTAAATGGATATCTGTCACGTCGCTTTCGTCGCCTTCGGACAATGGCCTTAGCCGAAAGACGAAGGCTTCCAGCCGGATCAATCTTCGATCTCAATGATTTCGGCGATTTGGAGATGAGGGATCCCAAGGAGCAGGCTCTTCGGCGAGGGAACAGCGTCAGCGATTGTAGTCAGTGCAGCAGCGATGAGGAGGAGGTCAAGGGCAAAGGCAAGGTGCAGAAGCCCACTGTTCCCCCTCAGTTGGCCGAATGGTTGTATCCAGTTTAGGTGTTAACAACAAGGGTTTTTAGACTTTGGAAATACAATTGCCTTTTGTAACTAAATTGGAAAGCGTTTTAGCTTCTTTTCTGTTTAACGTAATTAAAGGCAATTTAACTAACGATTTTAGGGTCAAATTATTTAAATAATTAAGATTTTTAAAGCTGCTTTGATTTTAAATTTGTTACATGCTTTTAAAAATATACTATATTTTCATCCCTATGCCAGATTTCTTTCTATAATTTGTATATAATGCAGTAATATTTAGGAGAGTGCCAAAAATCAAACAACAAAAATCTGAAAATGAACTTATTTAAATATTTCAAAGTAAATAAAACAACAAAAAAATTAAGCCAATATTAAGACTGCACTTTACGACCCTCTCAACAACTGCAAAGTTCAGCTGACAAACTCCTTAAGATCTCCTAAGTCTCCTGAAATGGATAACAACTCGAAGGAACTTGCTTTCAAGTTGCCGCAACGGCTTCTGCTACTTGTTGAAAGTCTTTAAGGTCTTTGCATCTATTGGCAAGCTCTTTCTCCATTGTTTTTACCCAGTTTTCCCAGCAGCCGCTGCCACTTCATACGGGAAAGTGTTTATATGCAGTCTGGGGGGAGGCGGGAAGTTGGAAATAATAATGAATTTGCGGCATGCCACACAAACACTTGCTGCGGCCGCAACATGCGCCAGATTTTAGCTCGGGATATCAGCAGTAGCTGCACATGCACCAGCTCCGGACGGAGTCCAATCCCACACGGAGAAAGATTTTTTTCGAATTACTTTGAAGGCTTGCGAATTGCACTAAAAAAATCTTTTATGTGAATAGAAACAAGAATTGGAAACCAAAAAAATTTGGTTAAGGATTTAACCAATAAAGAAATGAAAATACAGATTGTTAAAAATGACAGAAAGGTTTTAATTTGTATATGGTTTATCTTGCCACTTGTTTATTAAAAAGTTTTAATGAGCAGATCAGTTTTGCTAAGAAACAACTTTTGTTATACCTCAATATGCATTTGATTCTGTTGAACCTTTTTTTTAGCAACTAATATAATTTTTTTTGGCAGTGCTTACTCAATGGTATCATCACCATCCTGCCACCCCAGTAGCTCATTCTTTAACCCACTGTGCGGCATGTGTGGCAGCTAATATGTTGGCTTGGCAGTGTCGCCTCTTGGAGCCGTTGAAAAATGCACTGACATGTGCCACAGCTGCTGCTAACCCCCAAAGCCCCCGCCTATCGCCCGCCACCCGTTGGCCATTTCCCATTTGCCATTTTCACCACCCACCACCGCCCACCCACCAGCACCCAGCACCATTCCTTTTGAAACAAATGCAGTGGGCGTGGGCGGCTGCGTGTGCTCTTCAACGGGGGCGTGTTGATGCGCTGAACAATAGCTATAAAAAGGATTAACTTGCATAACAAAGGAGCTGCCAGGGGGTGGCGGGGGAATTGCAGCAGACAGGGCCTGGCATATAAATTTCAAAGAACGCAGCAAGCCGAAGACTCGGCATTGGTCGAGTTCCAAATTTATAGCCCCCCAATCCCCCATCGCCACTCCTCAGCCCACTTGCCACTTCAACCGTGAGCATATGGTTTTGGATTTGCCAGCCATTGTTTGTCTGAAGCGCGCATCAAAGTTTTTCTTTTCTGGGTTCTTGCAATAAATACAAATCTTTCAAACCAGCCATTGTTTATTGCTAATTGGTAGCTGCAATCCTTTGTTGATACTTGAATTAAGGGTATTTCTGAATTTTTAATTCCGCCAATCAACAAAGGAAGATGTATGTGAAATTTTTCAGCAATTTGTGGATAATACCTTTACCAATATTCCACATGCTAGTTTGTGGCTTATATGACCATAAAATATTCACGTATTTTTATTGGTTTCCCTTGCAGTTCTATCAAATGAAATGCTCCATTGTTTGCCGTTTAACAGTTCGTGGATCTCTTTAAAGTAATTCCATCTAACTCCGCGTTAACCCCATTTCACCCCTTAACCCTTTGTGGGGCACAGCCCTTCGTCCATCCTTGTGGCGCCTGGAAGAGGAAGAGACAGCCCCAGTCAACTGCAACTGCTGCAATTTCTCATTTTAATAAAAATGCAAATGTCTCCGGCTGAAGAAAGTCAAGCTAGTATCAAGCTGTCTCTTTCTATTATCGCTATAGCCCTCTCCCTTGCTGCCACGATTTTTTCTCTCTTTCTTCGGCATCCTTGCTCATATTAAACGCCAGCAAACTTTTCGATTTTACGGTATAACGAAAACAAAAGCACAAGCTAACACAAAAACAAAAACAAAAACTACCACGGATGCAGTAAAGACGAAAAAAGTCCGGCAAGACAAATAAGTTTTCAATAAGGTCCTTAGAAATGTTAAAAGGAATGAAAAAAGAGGATTGCACTCAGCTGAAGGTTGAGTAAAACAAAGTGTCAGTTTACAGCTGTCAGGAGCCGTGGGACATAAGTCGTCCCGCTCGCTCGCACTCTCTCTCCCTCTCTCTGTCACACTGTTTCCGGTCCTGTTGCTGATTCGCACTTAAAGTTGAGGCCGCCAGATGGGACTGCACTATTTATCTGCGGACTGTAGTGGTGGCGATTTGAAATTTCTGCTCGACAAGTGATTTTACAGGTTTAGCTTTTCGAATTCTGAGATTTAAAAACTTTCAAGGAAATGTCGAATTAACACCAGATTAGTTACTAAAATTTAACCCACAATTTCAGATTTCATAATCTGTTATTTTTTCAGAACAAATTATCAAAACTTAGTTATAACTGAAAAAGAGTTAAATTCTTTGGAAAGTTTTTGGTCCTGCTTTTAATAAACTCCCTGGTTTTATTTTAATAAAACAACTAATAAGTTTTATAACCTCCACAGCTATATTTCTCCGCATTTAAGTAATTAAATCTTTGTTTTTAAGTGCTTTGCCAGCATCACTGGAGAATTATCGCCCGCTCGGCACATCAGGCATCGTGCAGTGCGGGCCGAGCTTAATTAATCTAATTGAAATAATGCCACCGACAGGCGAGAGTCGCACATATGGGCAGCTTACGGGCACCAACAATGGCTTAGGACAATGCCTGCTCCCTATAAAGTATATCCCAGATTGCAGCGGGACAACAAAAGGTCCTTTGTTTTCATCGAGTTGGGTGTTGGGACCTGAAGTGCGCACTGTTTTAGATGGCTAGGCTGAAATCTGCTTAGTTGGTAATCTCCTTTACGGCTCCGCTTCAAGTGGCAGGAGTTCAGGACAACAAAGCTTCAGATTTTAATTAAAAATAATTTCATTTTGGATTTTTAAAATCTTAGAGTATCCATTTGAGTATCCTTTCTCATTTTCATGAAAATTATTATGCTCAAACTGTTTTTATAATCCTACTTACTTTAAACTTTCTTAACTTGAAGTTCCTTAAAGTGGCACGACTTTTCTTGATCAGTAAAACATTTTAATATATACTACACTTTGATTTTTATCCAGACCTATGTACTTTAATTTTGAACAATGCTGCCTAATGCAAATCTGACAAAGAAGGTACACCAACTACGTTACGGGAGTTGTAGTGGTTTCTCTTGCTTTACCTCCTTTGGAGTCATCTAACTTGCCCACGAACTTCTCCACCGTGCTGACAACTCTTTCCACATTACTGCCCACGAACTGGATGAGGGTCACCCGATTCTTGATGATCAGGAACGTGGGCATACTACTGATCTCGTACTGAAGGGCCAGATCTTCGTTCTGATCGACATCGATCTTGAGGATTACCATCCGCCCGAAGTATTCCGATGCCAATTGCTCTAAGCGGGGACCGATCAACGCACAAGGACCACACCACGTGGCAAAGAACTCGACAAGGACATGCTTCGACCCCGCATCCTCGATCAGTTTGTCAAAGTTGCTCTTCGAATCCACAGTGATCACCTTCTTTTGGGCGGCCATTGGTCACCTCCGATTGGGCAACCAAGTTTTGTATTGTATTCACAATTTATTAAACAAATAATTTTGACTTGTATTTAGACGGCGTTGAAAATTTAGAATGACAAAAGGTTCTTAGCTAGTTGCGAATCATAGCGCATGCTCTTTATTTCATGCTAATGGATGTGTCTTTGTTTTTTTCTCGGTGGGCGTTTTCTGGCTTGCAATATTTTATTTTGCTGCCAAGGTTTTTCTTTTTAAGCCAAGTTTTGGTGACATATACTTATATATATATTATATTCTTTAATACACTTTAATACACAGAATAAATTATGTGTTCTGTTTAAATGTCTAATGATTTTTCTTTGCAAATTGTCGCTGTGATTTATAGTGGTACACATAAATAGCGCTTAAAGTTGTTTAAAAAGGGTAGGTGTGGCTTGCTTTTCCATTGTCTTGGCATTTTTCATAGTGCTAGCAGCTTGTTTGTCTTGTCTTGCATTTGTCACAAATTAAGACAAATGCACCGCAGTATCTTGAGTGTGTTTAAACCGTGTCTGCCCCTTTCAGTGTGGGCTTCCACATGTTTGCTTGCCACAATGGGGGCGTTATCTCTAGAGTGTGTTTACCTAAGCCTTTCTCTTACTGTCTTTTTGCTTGTTTTTCCCGCTTTTCTCGCTTTCTTTTCGCCTTACACTTTTTTGCTGGGTGGGATTTCGTTCACGTGGCTGTTTGCGGTCTAAGTCCTCTCCAAGTGTATCTTTCACTTGATTCTAAAATTCTGTCCGCTGGGCTCTTTAAGCTCTTGGCACTTGACATTGAGAAAATCGTTGATAATCCGGTGGCTGCATCTGGCTCTACTGAGCGAAAAAGAACGCAACCTAAATTTCAACCTTCTGTTTGTATTTAAAATTTAATTAGGAAAATCAAAAAAAAAAAACGGTGAGGTATGATTTTTTTTTAAAGGCAGTAAAAATCTATATCCCTAAAACTGATTAAGTAAACCATTGGTGGCAAATAAAACATTTATTGTGTTTTAAGTAACTTTGTGAAACTCCTCAAGTACACTCAATATTTAAGTAAAGTATACATTTTTGTGTATATTTTGCATAATACGTTTTTTTCTCAGTGTTCCTTTTTTTCTCCGTTAGTTCATCTGCGCTTTCAACTTGCATAACCTAATGAGCGGCGCTTAGCGGCGAAACGAAACGAAATGGAATGGAACGGAAATGGGTGCCGCGTATGCAGCTCTGGCGCAATATGTTGTGCAATCAGTTCAACATCCGGTAGTAGCAAGGATTTTCGTTCCCGCCAGCGAAAGTGCTGACCTCGTCCTCCCGCCGCCGCAAAAAAAAAAATAAATCCGCGGCGAATGCGAAAGGTAAAGTAAAATGATGGGAATGGGAATGGGAATAACATAGGCATCCGGTGAACACATTTCGCCATCATATATTTGTGCTTTTGATGGAGGAGTGGTGACTGGGCGAGTGGAATAAGTCACGTAGCTGCGAAGACAAATTGCTTCAAGTGCACAGAAGACTCGCGCGGACTTTCAGTTTCCTCGGGCTAGTCGGTTATGCGGTTAGACAGTTATTTTTATTGCGCATACGCCATGTGGCTGGCATGTGGAATAAATACATATATATATGTACGCGTTTTGCGGTCAACTACGAAATGGGGTCGAAATGGGGCTAGGATTATTGTGATTCTTGTCACAAATCAAAATTCGGTTGTCTCCGAGTCTCGGAGATCAGGCATTTCGTTTGTATTTCCCTTGGTTTTACTTCCGAACAATTTCACGTTGATGTTTATGGTTGGCTTATGCATGTTACATCCAGCTCAAGACCATAAAACCGCCAGGAAATCTGAGAAATTTGTCCGTCATAGTGTGAAGTTTTGAGATAAAGCCAGAAATTCTAGTCATCCGCACCACCCACCCACCACTAAGAATGTTATTTTCTGGCTTTCTGCAGTTTAGCTTTGGCTTGCTCATTGCTGTTATGTCCTGCAGGTCAGCAGATGGTGGTTGTGTTCGTTCGGGCCACATAATTGGCTTTTGTTTTTTGGAACAACAACTGAATTGGTGTTATGGTGCACGTTTAAGCATGTCAATGCCAGATGCTGGCTGACAAAATGATGAACAATCCGAACACATAACACAAAAGTCAGAAGACAGAAGACAGAAGACATGCCCGAATGCCAACATCGACACCAAAACGGCAATTTCAGTTAACAAGTTTATGAGCTCTGCCGGCTGACAATGAAAGTCTCGTGCATTTGGATTTTTGAGTGCGTTGTAGGCTGGGACAAAAGCTCCCATTTCCTGCGCTCTTATTTCCGGTTCCTGCCTTGTCACACTTAAAGAAAATGTTGAAAACAAAAGCAGGGTAATTTCCGATTTTTTTTATTTGGGGTAGTTCAAGATATACACTTGCTTAAGGCTTAAGATATAATTTTAAATTTCTACAAATAATTTGTTTTTGGTAATAATTCGATGAGTTGAAAAATATTTTAATAAATGATAATATATATTTTAAAAATGTTTTTCAACACTTTTTTTACTATTTCAAAACGCCGTGAGTTTCTAATAAAAGTTTCGGCATCTTTATTGTTCTAACAAAGTCATAATAGACATAATTTTATAAATAATTTTTTTTATAACTTCAGAATATTTTTTTTCAGTGCTGCATTGCACATTCATTTGCCTGCCAGGGCGAACACAATACGGTTTTATTTCTGCCTGGCTCGAACGCCTTTTGTCAACGAAAATCTCTCGAAAACACAAGCAAATTTTATTTGCTGCCAAAAATGTTGATGCCTGAGCCGAAGCAGGAGATTTTCCCCATTTCCCGGACGCTCAGCACCGGGTTTTCCCCCTTCTCCTGTCGCTCTGATTCTGGTTGTGGGAGTTTTGCGTTGGAGCTTACCCCTAACCACATGACAGTTGGCATTTGGCGGTGCTGAGCCTTGTAATGAGCCTGGGCGTGCGGAAGGAGGTCCTTTTGGGGCTCCTCTGGGCGAAGGATAAACAGGAGTAACAGGAGGCGTTGGCGCATAAACAGGACTTCGAGCACGCCCCTCTGCTTCGAGCATTCACTGTTTTTACAAGCTGCTAATGTGGGCCCGACTTTTGTGGGTGCTTCGCCGTTCGTAGCAGCCGTGTGAATGGGATTTGCATTCGCCTACTGAATTTGGCAGGCACAAGTCCTTTTATGTTCGGGCTTCGGCGAGAATCCGCAAATTGGATGGCTGCAACTCATTGGAATTGCTTCATTCGGGCGCAGACTTGGCGGGGTACTTATCGACCCCATGTAAATTGGCATGACTGTACTTAGTGGCGTGACAGTAGGCTTACTTTATTATTTCCTGAACTTATGTGGAGGATTTTCCATAGGCTTTCCTTTAGAGCAATGAATTAAGAGTACTTGTATTCAAGAAAATAGTTTTATATTATATTACTGTTAAACGCATATAATTTCTAAATTTTTAATGTATATATTTTTCCACTTTATTTTTGAATAGATTAATTAGAAAATATATTTCTTTTTAATTTTTGATTTAAAAAATATATGTTTTCTTTAGCTTATTTTACTGTTCAGTTATTTTATAACCCCTTTTTGCCAATACCAATTATTGCCTTTCAATTGTTAGCCATCCTTGTTAGTAATCGACTTTTGACGTGACTGTACTTAAGGCAAAGTGTTTTCTCGGCAAGAGTTTCCCCCATAATTAATCACTTTAAAATGCAAATATTTTGCCAATACTTGGTCGACAGCTTGCAAAATGCCTCAATAAACTAAATGCCACAACCAGCAAACTTCGGCTCCCTAAGCAGCTTTCCGCCGAGGCCCTCACCACTTTTCAAGCATCTTAACCCCCGACTCGGGCTAAAGTTTCAATCAATCAAATGCCATGATAGAAATCATCAGCAGCAGCAGCCAGTGAGCAAAAAGGATAAAGGCAGTTGGGTAACTCCCAACAGAGCTCACGATTGGCATAAAAACCACATGTGCCTCAACATTTTACGCTCCAGATGACGGAAGGAGTAGCTCTTTTCCCGAACGGGTTGCCCTTGTCGGGGTCCTTTTTCAGCTCCTGCTCCTGCTGCTGCTGCTGTTCGGTGTCCTGCTTATTTTCCTGACTGCCTAACAAGCTGCGTCAACAAACTAAACCACTTTGAAATTAACACGTTACATTGACATTGACAGCTTTATGCGTGGCATGCCAAGTGTCGCTGGAACTAGGAACTGGAACAGGAGCACGCTAAAGGAACAGGATCACACTTAGAAAAAGCTAAAACTTTTAGAAAATTACAAAAATTATAGAAAATGAGGAAAGCAATATCTCTTTCAAATTTAAAATAATTTACAAATATAGGATTTTTAACTGAGGAAAAATAAAATGGAATCGGAACAGGACCACACTTAAGAAACATGGTCACACTCAACCAAGCTTAAAAAGTTTATTTATTCATCAATATGATTATTTATACAGAACCTGCAAACTGATTTTACAAAATTAAACTAAATAAAAAATAAATTAATAATTTTTTGGCTCTGAGATTTATTTTAAGTGCACGACCAGAAAAAGCCCCGTGATGAGTCAATGGCAAGCTGTCACTTGCTGAAGTATCGCTGGATGGATTCCGAGCGGGAAAACTCCGGGAAAGGGAATCGCACAACAGCGGAAGTCGCGCAAAAAAGGCAATTTCCGTTGTGTGGTGTGGGCAGGCTCAGAGATGCCGAAAAGGGGGCTAAAGGGGGAGAGGGATTGGGGCAACTGCCGCCCGAATCGCGGTGGCATCTCGAGCACAGGAATTACCAATTCAAATGTCAGGCTATGGCAAAACACTTCATGCGGAATTAAATTCAGTGTCAATTGGTCTCCCGCCTAACGAGAAATGCTCGCGGATGCGGCTTGAATCCGAATGTACGAGTGCGTTTGCCAACGGCCTTAACCCATTAGTTACCCGGCAAGGTTAAGGCATCGAGTGCCTCGAGAACCCTTTAAGTCTCCGCCGGAAGTGCTCGCCATTTGCACCCTCCATTTGTTTTTTTCCCGCAACCGACCCAAACAATTTTTCAACTTCCTCCATTCTTTTCACTTAACTTTTTTTTTTCGGTTTTTTT